ATATGCACTTATTTTGTTCGGTTCTCGCTTGGAAAAAAGAGCAGTTTCATTTTATTTATTTATTTTTTTTATGTCGATGGTATATTCTCAAAGGTGTAATATTTGGGAGGGCATTCAAATTGGATTCAGTAGTTGAGCTGAAGCATCAATCCCATGGTGAGGGATGTCGAGGGGGTCGCGAAACCGCCAATTCCCGGTGGTGCGATCTCACGGCAATCACATCGTCGGCCTCCGTCAGATATGAATTATGCTGCGTTATCTGCGCCCAAGGCCCACCCGAAACATAACTGTATAATCTTGGGATTTGATATATGGACACGAATTGCAGACGGAGAACATGTTTCTAAATTTATTCATTTTAATGATATGTAAACAAAATATTAATGTAGATAGAATCATTTGATGATAGACAACTTATTATAGTTAAACAACGTGGATGGGTGATCAAATCATCTCCCAACTGATAACATTAATTTGGGCATTAATTCTTAACAAAGATAAGGGTGGAAATAATTACATTTACACTATTTTTTGTAATTATTTCATTTATTCCCGATACAAAGTAATAACACAAGTTTACATTAATAATTTGTAAAAATTTGTAAAAATTATACTATTCTATAGTTATATTTCGGTGCATTAAAAGTAATTTGTGGAATATTTATAGAAACTAGGGTTTATATTAAAGCCGGTTTTAGAATCTCAATTTTTATACAAAATCGAAATCGGTTTTCGAATTTTCACAAAAAGATAGAGAAAAAGGATTTTCACAACTTATTTTCTATTGCTCACATGGAACAAAATTTCCAGAAATACAAAGAACTCTCACAAGCTACGAAGCTGGATCGTCGTTAGAGCATTAAATAATGAATTAAATTATTGGTTCTTCTCTAATACTAAAAGTCAAGTCTTCAGATTCTTGAAGATATTTATGAATTGATTGTTTCAAATAAATTTGTTTTCCTTCTTCGCCGCTTTTACATATTTAATAATTTGGATACAATCTTGATAATATTTGTTCAAAAAACATAATCATCTCAATTTTTGAAGCTAGTGAAAGAAATAAGCTAGACGTCTTTGTCTATAAGTTTGTGGATTTTGTAAATTAACTAAATTCCTTACTAAACTAAAACCTTAGAACTAATTTCAGTTTTATTTATTTGTCAATTCATGTAACAGAGATTGTGTGTGTGTTAAGATTTTTATGTTTTTAATCAAATAATTAAAATAATTCATTAATTGATATATTGAAAGTGTAGGCTCAAAAACCGGATTTCTTAGATGGAAAACCCCGGTTTTCGAATTACATAAATTTCCTTTAAAAAACCCTATTTTTTACAATGAAACCAAAGTATCATTAATATTAATTGTATTTAAAAAAACAATGCGATTTAAATTCAAACTGCGTTCTATTTTATAAGTATCCAATAGAAATTGTAATTTGTATTTTGTGGTTTTCGATGGATTTATAAAACAACGGAGAAAATATTTGTAACTATTTTTCATATTAAAAAAAAAACAACAACAAAAGTATAATATATCCTGCGCCATTGTAAATATTTATGGTGCTGTATATTGTGATCGGTTATAAACATGAATCGAAGTAGGAAATTTCTCGCATGGGAATAAGAAAAGCGGTTTACACAAGATATAGGGGTGGAAAACATTCCTCGTGTGCATGTATGTGTATGTGGGTTCGGATCCTGTTTTTTTTTTCTCTCCCTCTTCTGCCGTCGTCTTGTCCTTCCTTTGGCTGAGCTGAAAATGCAAGAAAGAAAGAATATCCAGCCAGTATTTGTGTGTCCTGTCGGATGGCGCATTTCGTATTCAGGACAGGGAGAAATCGGGGGGCGCCACATTCGATACATGTATAAAAAGGAAATACGGCACGAGGGCTGAGACAGAGGGAATCCAATGATGAAAAGAAGAAGTATTACTGCGCGGAGAAATACGAAATCCCATTTATAAACTATATCAGATATGGGAATAGAATTAAATCGGAGCTAAGAACAAAATTGCTCGATTAACGTATGCAAAAGCAAAAAAAACACAAGCGAATGAACGCAATTGCTTGGTAGTGAATATAAATAATATAAGAATATATTATTTCCTTCTTTAATTACCATTCGGTTACGCTCCGTAGTTTATAATTTCGTAATTTATTTTGCATGTTTTGTGGCGGGGGGGAGGTGTACGCGAATGCTCACAATTTTATTTTACTTTATTGCGCTATAACTGTAAGTTTATGTTATTACAGCAGTTGTTGTTACAGATAAGAACAATTCTTTTAATTAAAATCATCATCTCTCATTCCTACATACACAAATGCAATATATTTCATAGTACGTAGTGTTTCGCGAACCTTCACTAACTCGATATTACAAGAAATCTATTGGCTATCTCCACTATGCGCACTCTACTAACTTAATATGCTCGGTGCATTGTAATGCAGATATTACCTATTTGCATTTAAGCAATTACACTTGATTTATCTTAATAGTTTCGCTGTAACGCTTGAAGCTACTATTGAGTGTGAACAATATTTTTCACATCTCAGACTAACAAATTACTATATGAGGTATTTATTAATTAAAAATAAATTATAACTGGAATTACTATATAGCAGTTTGTATATTAGCATAATCATATACATATTACATACATTATATATACAACAATTACTTGCTTAGAGCAGCTTCAATCAGTGCGGATTTACTATTGTCAGTCAAAAAGTCTCTTTCTGTGTTATTTTTTATGCTGTTTTCTCAATCAGTCCGGTTTCTAACAGTCCGTGGTATTAATGGAACCGAAAATGCGTTTCTTAGTATATGACTTTGTAACATGAGCACTAAAGTAAAAAATGACAAATATAAAAAAAAATAAGAATCATGGGACAGAAAGACCTTTGTAACAGTTATTTTTTGTTTTAATATTATTGTTGAGTCTTTGTGTATACAAAATTTTCAGAAATAGAAAAAAATCTCACTTGTTACAAAGCTGAAATACAGACCTATTGAATATGTGTTTCAAATAAAATGACAACGTTTAAGTTTAATAAAGTTAGATGTAAATTTTACATTTAATTCAATGAATTTGAGTCATCTTGTATAATATCTTCATTGAGTTAGGTTATAGATTTGGTTATAGGTAATCTTTAGAACTGAAGATTTAGTTGGAAGTTGGAATGTTGTATTGGACGTTGAATATTTATTTATTTTTAATTTATATAAGAATCGAGGTTATATAAGTTGGAGGTTAGTCTGAAGATTAAAGTGATGATTAGGTAGAACGTTTTGCTGGAGTTTAGCATTTAATTTTTGAATTTATATAAGATTTGATTAGCTTCAAAAATATGTTAGAAATTAGATTGTAAATAAGGTTAGATGTCAGGTTAGAGATTAACCTAGAAATTAGGAGGTTTAGAGATTAGTTGCTATAGTTTTGTAACATTACTTTGTTACAAACAAAATGACAACGTTTAAGTTTAATAAAGTTAGATGTAAATTTTACATTTAATTCAATGAATTTGAGTCATCTCGTATAATATCTTTAATGAGTTAGATTATAGATTGGGTTATAGGTAATCTTTAGAACTGAAGATTTAGTTGGAAGTTAAAATGTTGTATTGGACGTTGAATATTTATTTATTTTTAATTTATATAAGATTCGAGCTTAGACTAGAGGTTAACTTCAAAAATAAGTTGAAGGTTATATTAGATTTATGGTTAGATTGGAGGTTAGACTGAAGATTAAGTTGAGTAGAACATTTAATTTTTGAATTTATATAAGATTTGATTAGCTTCAAAAAAAAAACTTAGAGGTTAGATTGGAAGTAAGGTTAGATGTCAGGTTTGAGATTAACCTAGAAATTAGGAGGTTTAGAGGTTAGCTAGTTGCTATAGTTTTGTAACATTACAAGATATTTTTTTAATAAAAATGTATTTAGTGACAAATTTAATAGCAAATTTAACAAATTTAAATATATTGCATCAGTAAGCTCAAAATTATTCAAATAATCAATATTTACTAATAGACAATATAATAATCTAATTTTGTGAAAATTATGTAACGAAAAAAAAAAGAATCTAAGGAAACCACAACTGTTAATTGTTTTTTAATATTAACTACAAAGTCAATATTTATAATTATATAAATAAAAACTAGCAGAAACTAAAATATAAAATAGTCTTAGGTAATAAGATAATTGTGTTTATGTAAAATTTATAGCAGTGGTTCCCAAACTAATTTGGCCTACTGCCCCCTTTCCAGAAAATATATTACTCAACGCCCCCTGGAAATATTTTTTTTATTTTAATTGTTATTAAACAGTTATTCATCGCCCCCCAAATTCACCTGTGGCCTTCACCGTCCTTGTGGATCCCTGCAGTGCCCACTTTGTGAATCACTGGTATAGACTAACTCATAAAAATATTAATAAATTAAACATGTGCAAAAAAGTATAAATTATGCATGCTTTATACGGTTAAATATGTTTTATTACAGTTAAATACATTAAAAATTATTTTGATTAATTCATAAACGGTTTGGTTTTACTGTTCCAAATGCTTCTTCCTTTTCCTTTTCCATTTTTTTTTTGGTTAGATAAATCAATTGCATAGCCAGTTGTAAATTTGTAATTGTAATGTTGGCGCAGCCGATATATTTCATGCCCATCATATATTACTGACCAGCACTAATTATTAGCTCCATATTGCATTGGTAATGTATCAATAACAAGTTTCAATAATATTATCCGGAGACTTTTATAGATCTCATCGTATACATTAAATCATTTTTAAATCAGATAAATATTAAACTAGTATTTTCATTGTTTCGCATTACCACGAGAAACCATCGAGACGAGATGGCCCCGCATTTCCTGCACGGATTCTCTTTTTTTCTCTCTCCATGCATTTCGTTTTCTTTCTGATATTTTATTCTATCTTTCCCTTCTTTCCTCTTATATATTTCTTCTTTTTTTTGTCTGTTCTTGATTTCAGGATGCGGATAGAAAATCCACGGTAGATGGCGTTCTTTCCGGGACGCCCTTCCCGGAATATTAGAATTGAGCCGACCGGAGCAGAAATACAACGCGGCCCCTGTTTACCAAGTCAATGAGCTGCTTTAATACACCGCACAACCATCATCAGGAATATTATTCGGCGGAATACACCAACGACATCGGAGATCTCCTCCTTTCGGTACACTACAAGAATTTCAATGGCTCATTTCACCTAGATCCGCAATAACTCATTGTTAATTGCTATTGTTCATATATATATATATATAAAAAAAAATTGCAAGCTCTTGGATTACTGCTGATTCCTGGTAATAATACATCGATGATAATACAGATACTTTAAAATGCATATAAGGTAATTATGACGCAAGCATTTTCTTGGGAATTGTTAAGAATTGTTTTGCTTGTGACTTGGTAAATCCTTTTTAGGCCTGCGAGATTTATTTAAAGAAATCCACCACAGTAAACTATGAAAGTGCGTGTAGACGAGCCAATATAACTTCTTCAACTTCTCGCAACTTTTAAATCTAAACAAATAACAATACGTATAGTTCAACTTTGGTTTCACCTCAAGCTTCTTTTTTTTTCGATTTATTACACACACAAATTACTAACACAAAAACAAATAAATAAAAAATATACCTTGTTGTTACTATTTTTTTACACATTACGAATTAATCGAAAATAATTTAAAGAAATGAACTCTATACCAATATGAAATGTTACTAGTGAAGAACAGTTACGTAATTCACAAAACCCTAAAGATTCTACCCAAAGAAATATATTAGAATTATATTATGAAATATTTACTATCATTATCATAATATATTACAATAAATGCTTATAATGTATTTAGATTTGTTATAAATTCTTAAATTTTGAAGATTCTAGTTTCATTAATTTTGTATATTATATTTTTTTTTTATATAAAAGTTAATAGAATTTTGCAATAATCGTTTTCAGCAGGATCAAGATGAACTGTTAAATTCTTTGGAATGGATTTCGACGTTGCTGATTCCACATACTTTTCATGGATGAAATACAATGATGCTGAAGTAAACAAAAGCAGATACAGATAAAACAACAGATACACGAAAAACAACATTCGAATGCTAAGGTGAGTTTTTTTATATTGTTTAATTAAAATTTAGTTTGTTTAAAAATTTTCGAGTTTTGTGAGATATTTCTATGTTAACAATGGGATAAAATGAAATATTCAATAATAAAGTAGAATGAATATGGAAAAGATTTGTTAAGTATTAAGTTGGAGATGGTAACTGTATTTTTTGATATGTTTACTGTGTATCTGTTCCATTTAAAAGCATTTGCTGGATTTGATTATACATTGTAATAGTTGAATGTTATTATGCGCTAGGGTTAAATTTAAAAGTAATTGTTATTAGCCGCAGAACGTTCTCTTCAGGCAATCAAATTTTATAACACTTTCAGATGTTCTCTTGTTTCTTCCATTCCTTTCAGAGGCAGAGCGCGATTGTAACGAGTGTGCAACTGTTACAGGTCGGGGGCGAGGGTGAGGGTGGAGAATGAAGTGGCTACTGCATTATTCAAGTGTGCACCATTCGTTCCGGAGCGCTGGGTAAACATGAGCCGGATCGGGAAGACTCCAGAAATAGGAAGAAATTCACCTTGGCTTTTAACGAATTATGTATATATATACGGGCCGAAATAAAAGGTAATTCCAAACTAAATAAACTTAATTCTACTTTTTTTTATTCTCTGCCCTTTTACAGGAAAAATAGGATTTTTGTGTGTGTACGACGAGCTTCTTCAGCAAGGGGGGGCTTTAATGAATTGAAAATCTATTCCGGGAAGAATGTCAACACTGAAGACACACACACAATCCAATCTTATTCCTGATTGGCCCAGCTCTCAAACAGTACTCCGTTTGTCTTTGAAGTTTACTCTCGTTCTACTTGACAATGACAGGAATTTACAATTACTTCGAGATGTGTTTCAACCCCAGCCTTCGCTTCTTCAGACTCGCGCACATACGGATCGGGTTTAATTACAAAATAACAACAAAATAACTCAATAGAAGAAACTCTCTTATGTATGTATTGTATATATAATAGTATATAGTTCTCTTTCTCTCTTGAAACTCACATACATACAGGATAACACCTGTTTGATTATTTAAAATTGACTACGAGGAGCTGAAGGAGAAGAGGAAAAAAAGAAGGAGCTCGAAGGTAATTTATTGAGACGAATTTGTCTGTTGTAAACCAGTCGCCGGAGTGGCGTGAAGATGTGGCTAAAACAACTCGACTAGTGTCTTGTTCTACTGTAATAGCCCATTCAAGGGTTCCCACAGAAGTTTCAACTCGTTTTCTATTCGATTTGGGCAATTTGAATTACACTCTTAAAAAAAGGCTACGTATATTCAGATATCCCCAGTCATCGTTACTAGACCATTTGGGTGGGCATCCGAGATGGCGACACTCGAAGACCAGAGTTTTGGCGCTGTCCCCTAGCGAAATGCACGGCTGGTAAAAAAAAATTGATTGATTGTACATAAGTGGTCACCCGAAATTATCTAGTCAAAATAATAAGCGAAGTAAATTTGGTTTAGGCTACATCCTGCTTAGAGGATGAGAGTGACGAAGATACGAAAGAAAAAAATGAACAGCTCGAGTTGTACCTGTATTACGCATTAATATTTGAGGTAATTTGTTCTGGGCTTAATGTATTTTGTAAAGTTATTAATGATGGTTTTCTGACATCAGAAGGAGATGAGACAGAGGAGGAGGAATGAAAATAAAAATAAAATCGTAGAGGAGAATAGGATATTGATAATCATGAGCGGAGGAGTGAGATATTAAAAATTAATCCTGGACCGCATCGAGCGAGATACGGCACTGTAAAAGTTTTTCGGAAAGTCGTGTGGGGGCGACGCCGCTCTTTGTATTATTAATCCGAGAGCAACGTAACATTGTAAATACAGTGTTCGAAGTCTCATATGTAATATACAAGATATGGGTTTTATGGAGCAATCATAATATACACTTAGGAACATAACGTACGATGAAAATAAAACAATAAAATATAAGAATAACTTGTAACTTCGTGGCAGTATATCGAGTGTGCGGAAACAGCGATTCCTTCTTCTGCGCTCTTTCTCCCGGACCCTCCTAAAAACGGTTCATCACACTGTACTTCCGGCGGGAGTCTCACAAATTTTCGAGAAAATTATTGAGATTTTGCCAAAACGCAACTTCACGCTACAGCTACAAAAAAAAGTCATAAGATCATAATTTATGAAGATACATAATTCAAGAAGGAAATGTTTTGTAAAGAAATTGGGATAACTTATAAAGAAAGATAAAATAAAATAATAATCAAAACTAGAGAATTGCGATATTATCACATGAATTGAAAACATAGATTATTGAGTACATTTAAAAAATAAATCCGTATTGAATCCAATAGGAATTATTCTAATATCTTTGTGTTATTGTTTATAATATTGAAAAATGTCACAAATTATCCTTTACATTTTGTCTAAATAAGACATCTTTTCATAGACATGTAGTCTAAATGAACTAATGATAATTTGAGGACTTTAGTTATGATGAAAGTTTAGGTATTCTGTATAATACCAAATAATACACTTTGCTGTTAAAGTAAATAACAATATTGTAACTAATTTTACATCAATTTTCAATTCTGAGTTGGAAATCGTTAATATTTTTAGTATTAAAAACACGTCAGCCGACATCATTATTAAATATTATTCCTTGAATTATATTTATGTTTTATTATTTGTTTATAGTCGACTGTAAATGTAATTACAAAATATGAATACGATTTGTATGCTTTGATTGCTTCGCAATAAAAAAA